AAAATTGATAGGAGGGGGGTGGGTGGTCTAAAAATCGTTCTATAGGAAATTACCCGATTGTTAAACAAAAATCACCTACATGAAGTAATGTATCAGCTAATCCTGACACACAACGATCATCTTTTTTTTTTATTAACCTTTTCATATGAAGAAAATATGAATTTTAAATAAATTTTGTTGTTTCAAATTTTTTAGAAAACACAACTACTTCTAATTTATTTGTCACGTAGTGCTAGATATCAAGTTTTATTAATAAGACACTGGAACATTTCAGAATAAGATGGCACAGTTTCCTAAACTCTTGAACGATCGCCTGCTCCGAGCAGCTCGTGGTGAATCTGTGGACGCAGCCCCTGTCTGGGTGATGAGGCAGGCGGGACGTTATCTTCCTGAATTCAGGGAGATGAGAGCAGAGGCAGATTTCTTTAAAATCTGCCAAACTCCGGAGCTGGCATGCGAGATCACCTTGCAGCCCATCAGGTTGTCATAGAAAATTATATTTTTAATTACAAAACAACGAATATTTTTTATTAAAACTTTCTAAACCATTGGTTTTTATTTTCAAGGACCCCCCCCCCCCTTCATCATTTTTGATGCTCTGGAGGCATTAAGTGAAGGTTATTACACTATTTCGTAATTTTTACAATTTATTAAATTTCCACTGAAAATTATTTTGAACTCCCCAATTTTTTAATAAAACCTGTTAAATTAAATTCGCTCCGCTTAAACCTACCCATCATGGTTATTGATTATCTAGGGAAAATAATGTTCTTATGACGATGAATGGTACAGTGATAACCAGAGATCTTTGGAATAGAAAGTCTACTTTTAATCTCTAGTTATAACTTTTAATAGTCTAATGACCACGAGGCACAGCAATTGTGCAGTGTAAACGGACCCTTTCTTTTATTGGCAATTTAATAACTCCCTATTAGACTAAAGCTTTTGTTTTGGAACAATATCAAATGCTCTTTATTATTGCTTTAATGTCGTTTTACTTTGTACTATTACACAGTTTTCTGGTTATTACTGTATCCAACCCAAAAAGAAATCGTTCAAAGCGCCAACTTTTCTAGTCAAAATTATAATCTAAACTTAATAAAACCATAATATTATTTTAAGATAATATAATATTTCAACTCCAAAGTTCAGTCTGAGACTGAGACCCATTATCTCTAATATGCTAATATATTTTAGGAGGTTCGAATTAGACGCTGCCATCATCTTTTCCGATATCCTAGTCGTTCCCCAAGCACTAGGGATGAAGGTTGAAATGAAACCCGGAGTAGGACCCGTCTTTGATAAACCCCTCGTCAACCCTGGAGATATTGACCGTCTAACTATACCTGACGTCAACACTGTTCTCAAGTACGTGTTCGATGCTATCACCTTGACTCGGCATAAGCTGGAAGGAAAGGTTCCTCTGATAGGGTTCACTGGAGCTCCCTGGACATTAATGTCCTATATGATCGAAGGCGGGGGATCAAAAACTCAGTCTAAAGCCAAGAAATGGTTGTATCAGCATCCAGAAGCAAGTCACAAGCTCCTAAAGATTATTACTGACGTGAACGTGGAGTATCTTGTAGGACAGGTTCGAGCTGGAGCACAACTTCTCCAGGTGTTTGAGTCCAACGCAGAGTATCTTGGTCCTGTAGAGTTCTCCAAGTTTGCTCTGCCTTGTCTTATAGAAATCAACCGCAGAGTTAAAGATAAACTTGTTGCAGAAGGATTGGATATTGTTCCAATGACAGTTTTTGCAAAGGTAACTTTATTACATAAAATACATCTTTTAAAGTTAAAGGGCCAAAAGAGAGTAATCTGAAGAATGAATCTTTTTATTCCGGCTGTATCTAAGATCGCTCAGAACTTGAACCAAAGAACGGTTAATTAAGTGTTTTTCTGTCCATAATGTTTTCTAATCTGCCAATTAATTTTATTTATAATTTTAAGGGAGCACATTACGCTTTAGCAGAGCTTGGAGGATCTGGATACGACGTTGTTGGATTAGATTGGACGATAGATCCTACAGAAGCAAGGAAACTTGTTGGACCTAATGTTACCCTTCAGGTAGGTTTGATTGATATACATCTAGGGTTCATCCAGTTCAAGTTTTTCCTACTTTAATGTATAGAGGCAAAAATTGGGGCCAAGAAAAGATTTTTCGAGGGAGATAAAAAGCTTTAAAAATTAGGCTAAATTCTTGTTATAAATTGATTTTGTAATTGAGTTTTCAAATTTGATCTGATCTATATTTGTTGTAACCTGTAGAAAATATGCAGGGTAATCTGGATCCTTGTGGATTGTATGCTCCCAGTACAGATATTGAAGCCAGGGTGAAGATGATGGTTCAACAGTTTGGCAGAGACAGGAAACTAGTTCTTTCAGATTTTAACTTTAAAAATATATTTTCATTATGTTGGAGAGGAGCGGTTTAAAGAGTGTCCAGTTAGCCTTTGGGCTATTTTGAACAAACAAGCTGATTTTACAACTTTTTTAAACATTCCGACTTTAAAAAAATTTAAGTTCTTCGCGCAGCACATTTTATGTGCAGGTTTCTTGGTATGGAAGGTGGGTGAGAGTTAAGCTCTCTATTTCAGTAACTCCTAATGTAAATCAAACCAAACTACTTATTTGATTCATAATTAATGATTTATTGGTTAAAGGGGTCTTTCAAGATTGAATTCAGCCTGAAAGTATGGTTTTATCAGGTGGATAGCAAACCTTGGACACGGAATCTACCCAGATATGGACCCGGAGAGCGTTGAAACCTTCGTCAACTCAATACACTCACACACTAAACTGTGATAGATGAATCTAGTTTATAAATCTCATGTACAATGTATACAATGATTAATGTACATTGTACGCCAAAAGAATAATTCAACGATGATTTGCTTTTTCGTTGATGAATCTACAGTTATATTTTTGAAATGTTTTGTAAATTTACATTCAGGGTTTTTTTTATTAATCGTTCCATTGTTATTAGATAAATTTTATTTCTTTTTGCATTTTTTATTATTTGTAAAAGATTTTGTTAAGAATCTCGCAAGGTTTTAAATTTCTCTTTATTGTTTTGTTCTGAATTTACTCAATTTTATATTTGGATTCCATAAGGAGGTTTATATTTTAGCACGATTCTATTTAACACGATTTCATATTTACATTTTAGCTTTCAACGCGACTATTGCTCAAATTTAGATTTATTAAAATTTTCAGAAAATATTCCACTTTCAAGCTTTCTAGTCCGTCATGTCGGAGTCGGAGCCGGGCGAGAAAGAAAAAAAGGTAATTAAGAGAGGACATTTTTATACATATCTTGCTTTTTTACTTTTTTAAAATCCAATTATCGGCTCAACAGATCCGTTCCAGTTTTTTTTGTGTGACCTCACATAACGCAGGGGATGGTCAGAATTAAAAATTTTTTTGACGGTTTGTTTATATTCATCCTAAGACAATGCATTACACTTTTCGTGTAAATTAAGTTTTCTGTTTCCTGGCATAAATATTATATTGTTTTTCATTAATTTAATAAAATGTTCTAGGCTAAGCCCGCCCTTGTAAGACTCGGACAAAACGGAAATGCCAGAAAACCTTCTCTATCAGGGCTTGGAACCCCGAGGTCGGGAGGTTTGGCCGGTCCTCTAGGAGGATTGGCCTCTAAAACATCTCCTTTTGGAACTCCCAAATCTAATTTTTCTCCCTTAGGATCTCCTAGATCCAGTCCAGTGCATACATTCAGAGTAAGTTTTTTTAATATTTTTTCTATCAGTGCCAATCGCAGTCAATTGTTGAATAAAATCGTTGCTATTGCAAGGCTTATTTTTAGCGTTAAAACCTGTTATTTATTCTTCCTACAAAACATATAACTTAGGTTTAATTATTTTGAACCTGAATATTAATAAATATTATGTTTCAGGCTCAACGTGACTTATCCCTCGGAGCTAAACCTGTTCTAGGAACTAAATCAGGCTTTGATACCAAACCTGCCCTTGGAGCCCTTAGTCCTAAATCTGTAGTGAACTCTCAAACAAAACTTCCGGATCGTAAAAAATTCATTCCGAACCTGAACGTTCAAAGACAAGTTAAGAAGGAAAGTGATGAACCGGAGAAGAACGAACCAAAGTGGAAAAGGAGAAAGGAAAATAAACATGAGAGAAGAGAAAAGAATAATAGGGACCGACCAACCTTGATACAAACAGGATCTATTTTCTCTGAAGGTAAGAAAATTCACTTAACATAGAAATCTTGTTTTAAGTGTTAAGTGTTTTAGTCCGATTGCGTATGATAGCTAAGGTTTTGTGTGAATTTTCCCATTTGTGGCGTTTGGCCCCCGTCTCCCAAACGGGGGGGGGGGTCTTAAGATCAATTACCATCTTCTTTTTATGCCAAAAAGTTGTAGTATTCCCACCCGTTGTTATGCAATTTCTTGTATCCAAGGTGTTGCTGGAGATGGGGGGATTAGGAGACGGATTGGAGGATCCAGCTCTAGGGGGGACCTGGAGGAATCAGGACTAGTCAGGCCTAAACTTAATCTTAACCAACCTCTGGATAGAGATGAAGAAGAAAGAAAACTTAAATCCCTTCTCAGGTAAATAAGAGATTTAATAAAAATACCAAAAAATAGAATAATTGGAATAATAATGTCGTTTTTTCAATTATAACTTATTAGTCAGCTGTGCTATTGGACATTTTTTTAAATTAACATATGCTATGAAAGGCTGATGCTTTTATTGCTGAATACAACCTTACGAAGAGTTTAAATTGTTTGTTTTTGAGAAAATTTTATTTATTTTCAGAGATGATTTTATTGATGATCTGAAGGAGGGAAATTTTGTTCCTGTCCAATTACCTATGATTAATACAGGTAATAGTTCATTATCAATATTTTAATTGTTAAATAAAAACTGTTATTTATTTTTACAAGTTTCAGTCAACTCATGAAATGTCACGAAAAGTTTAAATCAGAAATGTATCATATCGTTTTTTATTGTTTTTATTTTTTTATTTTATATAATCAAACAGTTTAACTAACCCTAAAAAATATTCTAATTATTATTCTAATGTCTTGATTGATTCTTGAGTGGGTTTAATTGGCTGAAATTTTTTAGGAAACCCATGAGTGCCTTGGGGATTGGCTAAAAAGTTTTTTTTCAGAAAAATTTGGAAATTTTTTTTAAATTCCATGGGCAACGACAGACACTTCAATTTAAATAAAATATTTTTTTTATTTTCAGGAAAGATATTTAAAGCTGAGGTAAAGAAGAAGGATGGCGAAGAGGACGATATTAGACCAAAATTATTAAATAAAAAGGTGATTTAAAAAACATAAAAATGTAATACTTAAAATCATTTTCGTAGTATTTTTTAATGGTTCATAAGAAAAGGAGACGTTGTAAGAATGGTGGTGCACAGGGCCCTAACTGAGGAGGGGGGCAACGGGAAACGTGCCCCCGTGCGAATGAAAATCCAAGATAAATAAATGTTGTTTACTGTGTAAGAGGTCCCCCTTTACCCTGTGCGCCCACCACCACCAATTGTTCTGAAATAAATTCAACGATTTCAAGCCCTCCCCCTCCCCCCCCCCCTCTCTTCAAGAACCCAGGCCGCCAGCGGCTATGCAAACTAGCATAATTGAATGATAATTCTGTAAATTCAATTGTTTTCAGAATAATGAGCTTGATAGCGATGACGAGGATGATCCTGAACCTGCAAACTCAATACCTGTGATATCTGAACCTGACCTACCTACTGCACCTGGAGAACCTAGCGTTGCGGAGCTCGTCACACACCAGGAATCAAATATTCATCCTTTTTTTTTTTTTGAAGATACGAAACCAAAGAGACAATTTGAAACAAAATCTTCAATTGTTTACTTGTGATATAAAAGTTTAAGGATCTTTTTTTCATGAAAATAAATTGTCAAATACTTGATAATAAATGCAGGGTTTATAAGAATATTTGATTTATAGACTGGACAGCTCGTTTTTATTCAGCTACCTGACTCCTTACCTCTTATTCCTGATAAACCTGGCGGAGATGAAACTGAGGCCGGAGCAGGATCCAACCTTAATATCTCCTCTCTGGGTAGTCTGGAGGGCAGGCTGGGTACACTCCAGGTTCGGAAGAGTGGTCGATGTCAGCTGATCTTAGGAAAACAAAAGTTTGATGTGGAAACTGGAACCAAGGTTGGATTCCTCCAGGTATAGAAGCAATTTATGCTAGATTTTGAAAGAGTAACCGCCAGCGTGAAAATCATATAAACCACGGGGTACCCCCAGGGGGGATGATTGTTCTCTACCTGTGTGCTCAGTTAGCTGTACTGTACACTTACAACTGTTTACTAATATTGATATACTAAAGGTTAGGCCAGAATCAACTTAAAATAAACAAATATGCAGTACACTCTCGGTATAGTTTATGGCATACAGGGTGTCCCACGAAACATGACAGTATGCAGGACGACTTGAATGTCGTCTTGATTTTTGATATAATTTGCTGCGTTTATTTGTCAACCTAATTTTAGAAGTAAATTTCTAGAGATAATAATCACAAAATTTCCCTTGTCCTGCCATTTCCAAAATGTGGTCTGCCTTTTTTGTGCTTTCAATATTGCTCGAGATATGAAGAATTTCGTTCAGATTTCGACTATTTTGCTTTTATTTAACAAAATTGAAATCTGAACCAAACTCTTTATATCTCAGGTAATATTGAAAGCACAAAAAACGCAGACCACTTTTTGGAAATGCCAGGGCTAGGAGAATTATGTGATAATTGTTTCAAGAATCATACATGTTAAAGTAGATAGAAGACTAAATGTCACAAATAAATTCAAATACCAAAGACGACTTTCAAGTCGTCTTCCTATTGTCATGTTTCGTGGGACACCCTGTATAAAGTTAGTAAAGGATAAGCGAACATCATCACTATACAGTACACTATAACCTCGTTGGGTACCCTTTCATTTGGTTTAGGTCCGTTGAAAATGGTTTCCTTCAATATTTCCTAGAGCAGACTGAATTTGATTCATGATCAGCTAACTTCCAATTCATTATTATCATTTTCTTAACTAACTATAGTATTTTTAGAATGCAGTATCTATCCGTGTTCCCAGTAATCCCGGAGAGAGCGGAGAATGTACAGTCCTAGGTCATATCTCACATAGACTAGTAATGTCTCCGGACTGGGATACTCTTCTCCATCAGTCAGGGTTAAACTCAACCCTGGCCTGAGAACTTGAAGGAGAATCCCTTGAGGGTTCCTGTCTTGTAGTCCTAAATTCATCACGAAGCTCTAAGCCAATTTTTACAATAAACACAATTCTCGCTGAATTATGTTTCCGTTCATATTTGTTATTTGTTTTATATATTATGTATTAAAAATATTCGCATGAATTTGTCTTCGTACATTTTTTGACAGTTAAATAGTGATTAGTAGTGGGCATTGGACATTGGGCAATAACGTTGTTCGTTTTTTTATTATTTACTTCTTTAATGAAAACGCACCAGAAATTTCAAAACTGTATTCTATAGTAAAGTCTTCTTTAACTAGGCAAATAATTTATCCTAATAGAAATATTTAGAAGAAACGAACAACAAAAAAAACATAAGTCTAAAACCACAAAAGTTTTGCAAATCCGAACCAATTTACTGGCCATCACATATTAGTGTAAAACGGTTTTCAAGGTCCACAACAGGGAAGTATAGAGTACAATTGGTTCCTCAGAAGAGTAAATTTTAAAGAAAAATTACTATTTTGAATAATAAGATGAGGCGAGTGTAATGAAAACCTAACCAAATAATTTTCCATCAAATTTTTGATTACTGAATGAAATGAAATCTCATTTATCAAAAATATTTTCTGCAAAAAATCGAATCTAACCTTAAGAGTGTAGTAGTTTATGATATAATGGGTTTGAAGTCTCATCTTTTGTGTGGAACCCTGTTTATAAAGGTAATAAATCTCAAGGTTAGCATAAAGCAAATAATGTGAGAATTCGTTAAAAGAGATTTATCCCTTGGAAATATCTATGATATTTTTAATTTGAAACCATGATGAATTTATTTTTCTTTCACAGGGCAGAGAACTTTTTATAAATAATATATTTAATCCATTTTTATTGAAAACTGCTGATCAAGTATTTTCATAAAATATCTTATTGTATTATCATCCCATACACACAATCAAAAGATAAAAAGCTGATGTAGCAATAATACTTTCTACAGCATTTTATTTATAACATTTATTAGACGTAATTTTCAGGGAACCTTGGGATGTCCGACGGGACCTTTATGATCAATAATGTGGAAGATATTGACGTTTTCCTATCTTGAAAAGTGTTTAATTCTAATAATTTACACAACGTTTCAGCAAATCACTTTTAAGATATAGTTGGTGGAAGGTTGAGCCAAACTAGAAATAAACGATGGAGACTACTTTTAAGAAAAAGGTTTGTGATTTTATCACTAACCACAGAAAACAAATTAAAGGGACTGTATTTGAAATTTAACTGACCCTCTCCATTCAACGAGTGTCATGCCCGATTCACTAAATCTGATTAATAGTGCATTAACATCGGTTATGTAGGTTAAATGTATAATTCTGTTAATTTCTCCATTGTTTCTGAACATAAAGCAGGAAATGGGCAAGTCGGTGGAATCCCTACAAATTAAAATAATCAGTTTTTAATAACAAAAACATGGATATCTAATTCATAAGCTATGAAGGGTACAGGTGGAAATATGACATGTCGCTCCATCAATAAATGAGTTAGTTCATGTAGGGGCGTATGCACAGTGCACTTATGGTTTATAATGACGAGAAAATGCATGAAAATATATGGTTTTATCTGTATCTTGTATTTCCTTCTCCTTTCTATTGTTAGCAATATCATAAATTTTAAATTCAAAATCAAAATAGAAACAGTGGCTCCGGGTGAATCTGATTTATAATTTAAATAACATTTTCCTGTATAAACAATAGTTTTCCCAATTAAAAAAGATTTTCCTAAATTTTATGAAAAAATTCTTCAGCCCCCATTCCCTAATAAATGTACAACTGAAGAAAGAAAAAAAAATATCTGTATTTTTAATAAAAGAAAAGTATTTTTAAGATAAAATTAACGTGTTTTTACATTTTATCTACAGATTAATTTAGCTTGTCATGGTGGGTGTTTGTCTGTTTGTTTGTATCCAATAAACGTCAAAACGGCTGAACCGATCGGGCCCAAATTTTGTGGGGACTTCAAGTGACCCCATGGAAGGTTTATAAATGATCAAAATTTTAAAAATTGGTGTTCAAGTTTTTTATTTTTGTAAAATTTTAAAAACTCGGCAATTAGGGCGCTTCGCGCCCATCTTCAATTTCAACTTTTAATTGTGGCTTTTTCTGTGAGCATCTTCTCTTTGGACAGTATAAAACAAAAAAGTTTGCGGATTTCATAATATTTGTTCGCGCATTTTCAAAATTTGCATACCCGAACTTCTCCTGATTACCCTCTACCCTAACTTCTCCTGATTACCCTCTACCCTATTTTCTCCTGATTACCCTCTTACCTAACTTCTCCTGATTACCCTTTACCCTAACTTCTCCTGATTACCCTCATACCATAACTTCTCCTGATTACCTTCTCTAACTTCTGATTACCCTCACTAACTTCACCTGATTAACCACTACCCTAACTTCTCCTGATTACCCTATACCCTAACTTATCCTGATTACCCTCATACCATAACTTCTCCTGATTACCCTCTACCCTATTTTCTCCTGATTACCCTCTTCCCTAACTTCTCCTGATTACCCTTTACCCTAACTTATCCTGATTACCCTCATACCATAACTTCTCATGAGTACCTTCTCTAACTTCTGATCACCCTCACTAACTTCGCCTGATTAAACACTACCCTAACTTCTCCTGATTACCCTATACCCTAACTTCTCCTGATTACCCTAAGCCCTAACTTCTCTTGATTACCCTATATCCTAACTTCTCCTGATTGTCCTATACCCTAACCTCCCTAACCTCTTCTGATAACCCTCTACCCTAACTTCTTCTGATCAACATCATAATTTAACTTCTCCTGATTACCCTATACATCTCCTGATCATCCTCTTTCCGAACTTCTCAGGTTTGCTCGTTACTATGACTTCTCCTAATTTTAGCTGATTATTGCCCTCTATCTTAATCTCTATAGTGATTGTCTTCCTCATAGATTAATAACAATACAGAAAGAACACTATATGTCGTCTTTTCAAGATTTAGGCGTTTTTCGTTCACAATAACCCCGAAGCAGATGCACAAAGGATTCTCTCTCTCTGTCTTGTCATTCAACGCTGCATAAGGGTTATTGTGAACGAAAAACCCCAAAATCTTGAAAAGACGACATCTAGTGTTCTATCTGTATTATTATTAATCAATGGTCTTCCATTTCTAAAACTAAAGTTGAATTAAATCCTTGAGTAACTTGGAAGGAACTATGAGTACCCTGGACAACGCTGGGTTTTCAAGCTAGTCCTTCAATAATACACAAATAAACATGTTGAAAATCTAAATCCTAACGGGAAGCTAAAGAGACGGGATTAATTGAAAAACAAGCGGAATATTGAACAAGATATTTGAGAGATAGGGGGAGATGTAGCACCGTCTTCTTGGGGAAAAATAGGATATATTAAAAAGAATAGATAGAATATGTTAGTCAGTAGTATTAGGATATAAAGGTTAATATTGGACTGGATAGGACATCAGAAAGGTAAGTACTGGGTTAAGTGAATTTATACTGGGATGGATAGGATAGAAAGGGTAATATTGGGATGGATAGGATAGAAAGGGTAATATTGGGATGGATAGGATAGAAAGGGTAATATTGGGATGGATAGGATAGAAAGGGTAATATTGGGATGGATAGGATAGAAAGGGGAATATTGGGATGGATAGGATAGAAAGGGTAATATTGAGATTGATAGGATAGAAAGGGTAATATTGAGATTGATAGGATAGAAAGGGTAATACGTGATGGAAAGGATGGAAATTGTAGTATTGGGATGGATAGGATAGAAAGTGTAGCATTGGAATGGATAGGATAGAAAGAGTAATATGGGGAAGGATAGGATAGAAAGTGTAGTATTGGGATGGATAGGATAGAAAGAGTAGTATTGGGATGGATAGGATAGAAAGAGTAGTATGGGATGGAAAGGATAAAAAAGAGTAGTATTGGGATGGATAGGATAGAAAGAGTAGTATGTGATGGATAGGATAGAAAGAGTAGTATTGGGATGGAAAGGATAGAAAAAGTAGTATTGGTATGGAAAGGATAGAAAGAGTAGTATTGGGATGAATAGGATAGAAAAAGTAGTATTGGGATGGAAAGGATAGAAAGAGTAGTACTGGGATGGATAGGATAGAAAGAGTAGTGTTGGGATAGATAGGATAGAAAGAGTAGTATTGGGATTGATAGAATAGAAAGAGTAGTATGTGATGGAAAGGATAGAAAGAGTAGTATTGGGATGGATAGGATAGAAAGAATAGTATTGGGATGGACAGGATAGAAAGAGTATAGTATGTGATGGAGAGGATAGGAAGAGTAGTATTGGGATGGAAAGGATAGACCGAGTAGTATGTGATGGAAAGGATAGAAAGAGTATTATTGGGATGGAAAGGGTAGTATGTGATGGATAGGATAGAAAGAGTAGTATTGGGATGGATAGGATAAAAAGAGTAGTATGTGATGGAAAGGATAGAGAGAGTAGTATTTGGATGGATAGGATAGAAAGAGTAGTATGTGATGGATAGGATAGAAAGAGTAGTATAGGAATAGATAGGATAGAAAGAGTAGTATTGGGATGGGAAGGATAGAAAGAGTAGTATCGGGATGGATAGGATACAAAGAGTAGTATATAGATGGATAGGATAGAAAGAGTAGTATTGGGATGGGAAGGATAGAAATATTAGTATAGAGATGGATAGGGAGTAGTATTGGGATAAATACAAAGAGAATAGTTGGATGGAAAGGATAGAAAGATTAGTATTGGGATGGAAAGGATAGAAAGAGTAGTATTGGGATGGATAGGATAGAAAGAGTAGTATAGATATGTATAGGGAGTAGTATTGGGATATAGATACAAAGAGAATATCTAGATGGATAGGATAGAAAGAGTAGTATTGGGATGGAAAGGATGGAAAGAGTAGTATTGGGATAGATAGGATAGAAAGAGTATTATTGGGATAGAAGAGATGGATAGGATAGAAAAGATAATGTTGGTAATATACAAAACTTGCAGATGTATCTTTATTAATCTTACATTTTTACATTTATTTATATGTATTAAAAAATATCCCCCCGGATTTTTTGTATTACGATTTGTGAATTAAAGGTTTGCGTATTTTCTCTTGAGTTGCGTATACTCCGCTCCACCCTTGGTTAAACCTCGTCTTTATCTCCAGTGTACACTATGTTTACCTGTAGGCTGTATATTTAATATCTAGGTTAACATTTCATACAGAACTTATTTCATCCTGACCCAACTGACGGAGAATATATCTTGTGAAAGAAATTACATTATCAATCAACAAAATTAAAGCTTATAATGTAAAATGTATTATGAGCTAGTGAATTTTGTAAGTATAACCTGTTCTGGTACTCAGACAACCACCTCGGTTAGATTGATAAAGACTAATTTTCTTGTAATGTAGATTTTAAATATGGTATAACTGGCCATGACAGTGGTCTACAGTAGCCAGGATTCACCATGGCGTCAAAACAAAGGGTTGTCGAAGAAATAACGAATACGCAAACCGAAACCTGCAACGATGCGTCAACACCGACCAGCGCACAGGTTTGAATTCTAATATTATTTTTTATTTTTTATTCTTATTTTCATGAGTTTTTTAAGGTTCAACTGCAGACGCAGAAGAAAACATTGCTACGATGGTTGAACTGGAAGCTAGAACTGTTAGGTGGAACGGAGCAGATTACAGACCTATCCTATGATCTCAGGAATGGAGTTCTTCTTCTCAAACTTCTCAGTACTTTTACAAACACCCAGATTTCTGCAGAGACGGGAAAGTTCAGGTTTGAATGAGAAACTTAAATTTTGTTAAAATTAGAGTGTTTGTGTCACTCTTTGACTCTTGTCCTTTATTTTATATCTCATATATTCACAATCTGTCCAAAAAAAAGAAAAAGAGAATTAATTTGTATCACAACCACTGCTCTTGGGCTCCTAGTCGTGATTAATCAAATTTTAGATGGTCTAAAGAAAAGAAAAGAAAAAAAATGTCAAAACATATTTATTTATAACAAATAGGACAAAAGTACAATTATGATATCACCAGTAGATAAGAGAACTTATGTACTAGCTCTGGAAACATTAAAATAATGATATTTTTCTTTAAATGATTCTTGTAGTCTTGTGATTTAGGGTTCAGAGGTTGGGTAACCTCTCCACGGTATTGGAGACGATGCAGAGGGAGAGAGCAAGGACGGTGGGGATAGAACCAACCCACATCCTGGACGGAGATCTTGAGAAAACTGTTCAACTGGTCTGGAGTATTATTCTCAGGTATTAGAATTAGCTTGGTTGTTAAAGAATGCAAATATATTAATTCTGTAACTTCAAAATGGATCTAAAATAAAGAAAATATAGTTTTTATATTAAAGAAAATATAGATTTTATATTAAGGAAAATATAACTTTTATATTAAAGAAAATAAAGAAAATATAGATTTTATTTTAAAGAAATAAATATTTTATATTAAAGAATAGATTTTATATTTAAGAAAATATGGATTTTATATTAAAGAAAATATAGATTTTATAATAAAGAAAATATAGATTTTTTATTTAGATTTAATATTATAGAAAATATAGATTTTATATAAAAGAAAATAAAGATTTTCTATTTCAGATGGGAACTCCAGCCAAGGTTTCAGGAAGAAGGATGGGAATCTTTCAGTATTGATCAGATCATTTCAGCCTGGCTCTCAACCTCAACCAACCTTGTTACAAACCTGACAACAGATTTGCAGGATGGACACGTTCTCTGTCAACTTATTCTCTCCTCCAGCCCCAACCTTCCAGGGCTCCAAGACTCACTGGAGAAGTCTGCAAAAGAGAGATGGAAAATTCTGCTCCGATGTTGCAAAACTCATTTAAAAACTCCTTCTCTACTTGACGCCGAGGATATAATTGAAGGGTTTGTTGATAAGGTGTGAATTTTAGTTTGAAAATTCTTAATCATACATTACTTTATAAAACCTTTATTTTTCACTGAATATCAAACTGTTTTTAGAACTCCTTAATTCTCTACCTGGGGATTTTATTCTCCGCTCTACCTCATACAAACCTGGACCCGGAGAGGGTAGGGAAGGTTCCACTGGAACTAGATCCAGAACTCAGCACCAGGATATCTGGGTCTCCTATCAAAACCCAAGCACGGTAGGGAAACTTTCGTTTGAAAACTGTCTAGCCTTTTTATTAGAAAAAAATACCTGAACAGAAAAATGTGATTTTGTTTCTGGTTTGATATAATAGTATTTTTTACATACAAGGACAAAATGATATAACAAGAAATTTCTGGTATTTTTAATCCAATATGGAATTTTTTTATTGGGTTTTGATACACATACTTTTAAAGTAGGATGGATGAGGATGAGATATACAGGATGGATGAGGGTGGGCTGAGTATGAAGGATGAATGAATTAATGAATATATACAGGATGGATGAGGGTCGGCTCAGTATGAAAGGATGGATGAACTGTCTGGAGGAGGTTCTAGGTTGGATACTGGAGGCAGAGGAACATCTTCTCTCTCTTCATAATCTAGGACATAGGTCTGTACTTAATCTTAAATTTTAAAGCATATTCTTGGATTGATCGATTGATTGATTAATTGATTGAAGAGTTCCTGATTTGTTTACTTGATGTAATTTTTTTTTAGGCAATTGCAAACAGTTAAAACCAAGTTCTATAATCACGAAGATTTTATGCTTGAACTCCAAACCCATCAGGGCGCGGTCGGCAAGGTAATGCAAGGATTGAGGACAGAATTAATCAAACGTCGTTAAATTTGGTATGGCTGGTTGAACTACTTCTGTATTGTGGCCTAGAGGTTACTTTATTAATTGTTATGACCACTATTTCTCGCTGTTCATTGAATCCAACATTCGGAATATTTTTCAAGTTTTGTGTTATAATTGGATTCAAGTATCATTATATCCTTATTACAAAATAACGAAAGAACGTTGCCAGACTTTTTAGGACTCATTGAATCCGGATATTTTATGTTCTTCTTTATTCAAATGATGCTTAATGTGTTCAACTGGGGATATTTAATCTATTTTGTCAAAACTACTCATTAATCATTACTAAATTTTCATGGACAGAAATCCTAACCCTAATGGGTAACTTAATGTCCTCGTTTATCTGTTCAGCTTTCCTTATATATCTGTCTGGGGTCTGTACTAAGTACTCTAACCTCTACACTTCTTAATCATAACTCTGCATACAGTATTCTGCATTAAATACTGTGCACTCAGTACTCTGTGCTTTGCAGTTCTTAATCATTACTCCAATCCACAATCACACTTAGTACTCTGCACTCAGTACTCGAGCACTCAGTACTCTGTACCCTGTATTCAGTACTCAGTACTCAGTACTCAGTACTCAGTACTCAGACTCAGCACTCTGTACTCAGTACTCTATACTCAGTACTCAGTACTCTGTACTCTGTACTCTGTACTCAGTACTCAGTACTCTGTACTACTCTGTACTCTGTACTCTGTACCCTGTATTCAGTACTCAGTACTCAGTACTCAGTACTCAGTACTCAGACTCAGCACTCTGTACTCAGTACTCTATACTCAGTACTCATCACTCTGTACTCAGTACTCTGTACTCAGTACTCAGTACTCTGTACTCTGTACTCTGTACTCTGTACTCTGTACTCTGTACTCTGTACTCTGTACTCTGTACTCTGTACTCTGTACTCTGTACTCTGTACTCAGTACTCAGTACTCAGTACTCAGTTATCAGTACGCAGTACTCAGTACTCAGTACTCAGTACTCTGTACTCTGTACTCTGTACTCTGTACTCTGTACTCTGTACTCAGTACTCAGTACTCCGTATTCTGCACTCGGTACTCTGCAGTCTTATTCTGTATTTTCCACTCCTCACTCGACACTCCATACTCTGCAATCTTATCATTATTTTGCACTTTGCTCACCATACTCTTTCTTAACACTCTGATTCAGGATAACTACTTATATTTTATTCTAAGGTATAAAGTTATTTTGTCCGGTGAAATATATCTTGTGTTTTAAAACTACCTCCTTAGTGGACTAGCTGCACTGTGTAGGATTCCGAGGAGAGAAGGCGACATTCATAACCACCACACCAATTCATTAATTAATTAAAATATACTTCTTTACTCTGTACTCCATACTCTATACTATATTCTCCATACTTTGCACTCTACACTACATACTCTGCACTCCATGCTCTACACTATATTCTCCATACTTTGCACTCTACACTACATACTCTGCACTCAATGCTCTACACTATATTCTCCATACTTTGTACTCTACACTACATACTCTGCACTCCCTACTCTACACTATATTCTCCATACTTTGTACTCTACACTACATACTCTGCACTCCCTACTCTACACTATATTCTCCATACTTTGTACTCTACACTACATACTCTGCACTCCCTACTCTACACTATATTCTCCATACTTTGCACTCTACACTACATACTCTGCACTCCATGCTCTACACTATATTCTCAATACTTTGTACTCTACACTACATACTCTACACTATATTCTCCAGACTTTGCACTCTACACTACATACTCTGCACCCCATACTCTACACTATATTCTCCATACTTTGCACTCTACACTACATACTCTGCACTTCATATACATTTCTTTCTAAAGATCTGCACTCTGTGGTTCTCTGTACTTTCTTACTCTGCACTTCGTACTCGTCACTTGCACTCCGTAGTGTATTGTATTAGGACTGAGTCCCTAGAGTCTATGTACTTTTTAGTCATAGTTTTTATTTTGTACTCTACCTTAATCTGCGCTTAGCACTCTGCACTTGCACTCAATAATTCTATAGACTGTCCTCTATTTTCAGTTTTAGTCACTCTCTACTCTGTAGTCACTTTGTAGTCTGTAGTTAATTGAGGTTTCTCTAACAAATTCTTATTCTTGAACTTTGTAGTCCGTGGTCGGTAGTCTATTGAGGCTATTCTAACGAAGTCTTATTATTGTACTGTTTAGTCTGGTCTATTTTGAGGTTTTTCTAACGAAGTCTTATTTTGTACTATGTAGTCTGGAGTCTGTTGAGGTTTCTATAATGAAGTCTTTCTTGTGTATTGTTTAGTCCGTAGTCTATTGAGGTTTCTCTAATGTAGTCTTATATGTGAAGTGTTTAGTCTGTATAGTCTCAAGTCTTTTGAGGTTCCTCTAACGAATCTTTCAGTCTGCAGTCTGTGTCAGATCCTCAGACAGATAATATTTCTGTTCTGTGTTCCCGTCTTACAAAATACATAGATTACATTAAGTAACTGAATCTTGATACTTCCGCCCTTCTTTCATTCACTCAACATTTTTTATTCCAACATGAGTTCATGACTACATCATCCAATCCGTTTATAAGAAGTTTACTAGATTGGACGCAAGCCATAATAACTGTTTATGTAGCTCATATGATTGCTCATCTAGTTATCAGGATTTACAAGTACATGTTTACTCTAGTTTATCAGGATTTAAAAGTACATGTTTACTCTAGTTTATTAGGATTTACAAGTACGAGTGCATGTTTACTCTAGTTTATCGGGATTTACAAGTACATGTTTTCTCTAGTTTATCAGGATTTACAAGTACATTTTTACTTTAGTTTATCAGGATTTAAAAGTACTTGTTTACTCTATTTTATTAGGATTTACAAGTACGAGTGCATGTTTACTCTAGTTTATCAGGTTTTAAAAGTACATGTTTACTATATTTTATTAAGATTTACAAGTACGAGTGCATGTTTACTCTAGTTTATCGGGATTTACAAGTACATGTTTTCTATAGTTTATCAGGATTTACAAGTACATGTTTACTTTAGTTTATTAGGATTTACAAGTACATGTTTACTCTAGTTTATCAGGATTTACAAATACATGTTTACTCTAGTTTAACAAAATTTACATGAAAATAATTTCCGGTATAATCTAGATTTTTAAAGTAAAAAATCTCTTTAGTTCGAATTGTTATTGTTTTTAAAATTAGAATAAAGATTGAAAATATAAACATTTCATGACCAAAAATGGGAAATGACTCTGCGTCTCACTTACAAAGAATTTAGATATTAGTTTTAGCAACGTTAATATTTAAACCTGTCATCTGTCCTACAGGACCTACATGGAGCTAGTGAAAAGTTCAGTTAGTTCAAATCATCATTAGTCCATGTTTTTACTAGAGCCCTCTTCAGGGACTTTTATAGGAGTGTCAATGTGTATGGAGCTTGGATTGTTTACAGGGGCCCTATCTGGGAAAATAGGGACTTTCAAGTGTTAGGGGCTTTCAAGTGCAATTTGCAAAAATTGCTTAAAATCAGCCGATCAGAGACAGGGAGCCCTGATATTTTAGTTTACAAGTTTAATGTAAAATAGTTATGATAAGTTTATCTGTTGTTTTCAACTTAAGATGCATATTACTGCCGACTCTTGAGAATAAATGCATAAACATAGATTATACAGATGGAAATTTAAATGTTCCGTGTTGCGAAATAAATTGCTTTTTTACATTTACAAAAGCATCTGAACAAAATTTTTATCATTATTTCTCTCCTCCCA